CTCCTCTCATCACACAGCCCTGCTGGGGAGTGGTTATGCCCCTTCAACTAGTGAAGAAACAAACAGGATCAGAGAAGGACAGATGCTCCTTCTAGGCCACGGCTGGTGGGGCGAGAGCAGAGGTTGTTCTGCAGCCAGCCTGCTGCCAAGGACTGAGCCCACCTGGCACCTGAGTCCTGGCTCCTGGTCCAGCTCTGCCATCCACTGGCTGTGACTTTTGGCCTCTGAGCCTTGGTTTTTTCATCTGTACAGTGAGTGGTTTGAGGAAAAGGTCTCTGAGGGATCCCAGTGCAATGAGCCATTTTCTGAGTGTCCCCTCTGTGTTTGGCAGAGTGGGGGTTGAGAGATAGATGTGGTGGGGTCCATGCCCCTGAGGGAGAGGGCGAGGGCTCTCCCACTTGGGGAGCATCTGCTGCCAGGTTCTTCACATTCATCATGTCACGTGCACCTTAGTGGTTAAGTATGTGCACTTGGGGGTCAGAAAGGACTGGATCCCAATCCCTGCTCCTACCTCCAGCTGTGTGACCTGGAGCCAGTCACTTTACCCCTATGAGGCTTTTCCCCTCATCTGCAACCTCATAGGGCTTTCCCTTTATCTGTGACATCACAGGGTTTTGATTTTTTTTTTTTTGGTGGGAGGGATTGGGGGAGAATTCTTAGACAATGCTTACAAAGAGCTTGGAACATGTAAGAGCTCAGTTTGCTAGTGTTTTCTACAGTTTTTGCTGTCATCAGCCTTTTCTTTCCATGGAAAAGCCAAAATGATTTGAATCCCACCTGTGAACACATCCCCTTTCCCTGACCATTGCCCACATATGTACAGCCACCCTGGATCCTGCCTGCCTCTGTGCACACCCAACCTGTCTTCTTGATCTCTGGCCCAGGTTTGTAGTCTCTGGTCTCCTTCGCCCTGTCACACCATCCCAGCTTTCTCTGCCTATCTCTGGGCACTGCATCCCCAGCAATGTTCACCTGTTGATCCTGGTTCACACTGGTGTCTTCTGTGGTTCTCCACACAAGGTCTTGGTGGAGTTAGCAGGCTAGGATTGAGCCACTGCCCATTAAATCCTTAGGCCCCTCCTTTCAGGCAGGATTCCTGGGGCGCTTTCCCTCAAGATGGCACTCCCATGGGGCACCACACTCACCATCCCTCAGGGATCAACTCCCTGGCATCTCTTAGAGCATGTATGTGAAGGGGGCAGGATTTGTCCCTGGGCTTTGCTGATAATGAGAAGATGATCATTAACAGCCCTCGAGGGCCCAGAACTTTACACCAATGGCGTAGCTTTTATTCTCATTATCCCATTTCATCTTCACAACAGCAGGGGAAATAGGAAGTAACAACAGGGTATACAGGAAGTCCAAGGGAAGGAAAATGAGGTCCAGGAAGTGAAATAACTTGCTTATTTGAACACAAATGGCTACAAGCAGAGCTGGAATTTCGTCTTAGGGCTCTATTCCCTGCCTAGAACCTTGACCACAACAACACGATTGTGTAGTTGTCAAGAGGATGGGGTCTGAAACTATTAAATATTAAAGAGCCTCCTGTATTGGTTTACTGGTTTTCCATTAACTTTTATCATCTCACATAGAAGTACTCTCCAGAGAAGTCTCTGGGTTCCAGAAATACTTCTTCCTCCCATTACATAGCCACAACTATGTTTCCTCTTTTTAATCAGATATATTAGTTATATCCTTCTTTACTTGTGAATTCAATGGCATGGAAACCTAAAAGAACAGGTGGCAATCTCAGCTTCCAGTTCAATGAAATAATTATTCCATTCCTGGTAGATGTATTCTGCTCTTAGGAACAAAAATGCATGAACCAGCAGAATCCAAAATTGAGGAGAAAGAAGCACATATTTTGGAACTGGGTTCTTAGGGGTAGTGACAGAGGACACTCCCACTTCCTACCTCGGTTCCCAGACCTGTGTATTCTGGCCAGACAGGAAACCAATCTATATATTGGTTGCTGGTTAAGAGGATGTGTTTCAACTTGTAAGGCAGCACCCAAACCCTGCAAGGTACTGTCATCCAGCCAGCACCCAAAACTGTCTTTAATAGGCTATTCCTCTATTCTACCAGGCCACCTGATATTGTAAGATCTGTGAATCTTATGGACATTAACTTATGCACCACTTCTTTTGCTATAAAATGGGTTTCTTTGTCAAAAGCAAGATCATATAGAATATCATCATATTGAATAAGGCATTTACTAAATACACAGAAGGTGATACTAGCAGAAACACCATGAGCAAGGAAGGCAAATTTATATACAGAATAGATTTTTATTGCAATAAAGACAAACTGCTGCCCCTTCAATGATGGAGGGATCTAGTGTAATCAACCTACTACTCATAGCTGGCCACTGTC